ACCCCTATTCTAAATTAAAAAAAATTTTTTTAATAGTTTATCGTCAAGTTGGTTTCCATATAACACCCAGTGCTCATCCTCACAAGTGCCCTCCTTCAAAAACTATTTTTGTAATGACTGCATTCTCTTTCATGTGCAATCTCTGATATCTCTGTTCTTTTAGCTTGGTTGTCAGCCTGGAGTTTGAAAGAGAATTTGTTTAATGTCATGATTGAGGACAACACCAGAGAAAACAGATAGGAGAAAGAAAACACTCTGGTAAAGTCATAGCATCCCTCCAGAATCAGGGATAGAGTAGGTAGTGTGGGTTTCTCTGAATTACAGTGGCCATGCCTAAAAGGTGGTTGGCCTCTTTCTGGGAGTAAAGAGTCCCAAGAGTTAAGAGCTCCAAAGACATCTCCCAGTATTAAATCCAGCACATGTTTGCACGCAGTTTTTCTCTTTTAGCTCCAGGGAACAAAATCTCTCAAGGAATAGAAAGACAAAAGAATACTTTATCAATGAGGCTGTTGGGAATTCAGCTCCTGAAGTCACAGAAATTCTTAAATGTTTCCACTAAACCCTCTCAAGTCTATTCTACTAATTTCAGATGATGAGAAAACACAGTTGTGTCTTCCAGAGGCCTCATGAGTGGTTCTATCTTTCTGTCCTTTCTGGGGGAAAATTCATTAACTGCAGTGGGAAGGAACTTCGTGAGTGAGTTCAGACTTTTCTGTGATAATATCTGGATGAACCATAGCATCTTTACAGGTACTGGGGAGTCTAATAATGATGCACAAGACTCTTTTAATTGGCAGTAACTTTATGTTACATAAAAGGATAACAAGTAAAGAAAAGTTTGTTAATACAAAATCCAGGCCAGTTAAAGTCCCAAATTTTGGACGTCAATGGTGGGGTGCATTAAAGTATCTTCTTGCTCTCATCTGTCTCTGGGTACAGACACAGCATCTCTGGGTGTTGGCTCTCCATCATGGGGCCTCCCTGTCTCAATGGCTTGTTCTGTTGTTTCACTGTTTCTTCCTTCTCCCTGTTAGTGGTAGCTATTTTTAATGCCACTCAACCATTTGTCCTTTTCACAAACATTTATTGAGAAATTACTGCAGGGTAGGCACTAACTTATATTCTGGGAATAAAGAAGTTAATAAGGTGTTGTTCCTTCTCTCAAGGTGCTCCTGGTCTAAACAGGAGAAGAAACATAGAAATAAGTAAATGCAAGATCTGATATGGTATTTCAATCCTGGTGAAGTAAGTCCTAAAAAAAGTAGACTTTTCCTGGGGAGAGTAGTGAAAGCTTCACAGTCAAGGTTATAAATGTACAGAGCTTTGAAGTAGGCATGTAGTTATTCCAGGTAGGGTAAGTATGAGAGTCTTCCAGGTAGTATAGCAGTAAATATGGGGATTAGATAAATTGTACATTGTGCTTAGGTAATGAAAAATAGTTCTTAATACCTGACCAACAATGTGAAGTCAGGTATTAAGGGATGAATTAGGAAATTTGGATCTGTCCAGGAAGGGGCCACCATATAACAGAGTCTTACAATATGACTACGGAACTGACACTTCCTCTTAAAATCAGTGCAGAGTCAGTGCAGAGTTTGTATTAGGTGATGCCCACAATTAAACGTACCCCGTGGAAACGTCACGTGGGTCAATGGGAGGAACATATTATCAGTGCTGTAAAAGCCAAGGCCATAGGTAGCGAGGGGTGGAAATTGGGACAGTGGAAATGGAGATGGGAGGTGGGAGATGAATCTTTGAGGGTTTGAAACAGTTATCCACAAAAACTTCACTGTTAATACTAGACACAAGTGGGACTTTTGCATTGTTTATTTTTGCTTAATTCTTTCAGTAACTATGGAGTTGGATTTTGTGGATGAAGAATGTTAAGACTTAGAATAGGCATGCGGTAGACTCAGGAGTCAGCTCAGAGGTCACTGTTTCCAAGTCTTTTGCATTTCATGAATAATTTTATTTCTTTTTTTTTTCTTTGAGAAAGAACCAATGAAATCTTTTTGTTTAGTGCAGTTGAGCATCATTCTTTCAAAGAGTTCTTTTATTTTATTTTATTTTAAATACTTTATTTATTTATTTTTACAAATAGTTTATTGTCAGGTTGGTTTCCATATAACACCCAGTGCTCATCCCCACAAGTGCCCCCTTGAATAATTTTATTTCTTTTTTTTTAAATATTTTTTATTTATTTCTAGGAGAGAGAGAGAGAGTGAGCAGGGGAGGGTCACAGAGAGAGGGAGACACAGACTCTGAAATAGGCTCCAGGCTCTGAGCTGGCAGTCAGTACAGAGCCCGACGCGGGGCCCGAACCCACGAATTGCGAGATCATGACAAGCGAAAGTCGGACGCTTAACCGACTAAGCCACCCAGGCGCCCCTGAATAAGTTTATTTCTAATAAACTTTATTTTTAAAAACAGTTTTAGATTTACAAGGAAATTGCAGAAATTTTACAGGTAGTTCCCATGAACCTTTACCAGATCGCCCATTATTAACATCTGTCATCCAGAATGCATTGCATTTAGCTCTCATTTCTCCTTCGGTGGCTCTTGGCTCTGAAAGTTTCTCAGACTTCTATTGTTTTGAAGAACTTGATAGTTTTGAGATTTAATGGTCATGTATTTTGAAAAGTCATCTATCATTTGAAATTTTCTGATGTTTATCGCATGATTAGCCCAGGATTATGAATTTTTTTGGGGGGGGAAACACGCAGAGGTTACCATTTTTATCACTTTATATCAAAGATACAAACTATCATCATGACTTTGCACTGGCCTTGAATATATGATTGAGCTACTGTCAGGTATCTCCACTGTAAAGTTATTCTTTTTCTCTCCTTTTCATAAGATACTCTTTATAAGGAAGATACTATGTGTTGCCCACAATTCACTCTTGGTAAATTGGGTTCTATTTCCTGAGTATGGAATATCATTATAAATAATTGAAGTTTTTTTTCACAGATTTTCCATTTATTCATTCATTCATTTATTCACTGACTCAATTGTTTATTTTTGACAGTATGAATTTCATGAATTGGTTCTGGACTTTATGGAATTATCTTTCAAATATGATTAAATTTAAAGATACTAATGACTTGATTCCCAGTAAAAAACAAAAAGAGAGCAATAGAGATTTGCAAAATATTACCACTGGATATTCCTAATAAACCAATTATAAAAAGAGAGGACCTGGGTGGCTGTGTATCTGATACCTTCAAGCACTGATGCAAATTAACAAATATATTGAGATTGAGAGCTTTCTCCTAAGTAATTGAACAAGTGGGAAAAGAAAAAGATTATCTCTGATTTTTGAATTCTCAGTTCAGTTGCCTTATAAATGATCTGAAAACTTTCATGTGTACCCTGAAGGAGACCTGAATTTCCTGTATCTGCAAATCCAGGATTGCTGCAAATTTCTCATCCTGTTACTGGCTGAATTACAATGCAAGTTGAATGAGTAGCCATGTTGGGTGTCTACTTGGGAAGTAGGGACTACTTGGGAAGAAATGTGATCCTGTATATTGGAATGAGAACATGTGGGAAGGCCTTGATGAAGCTGGAAAATGAACCCCTAAGTCTTCTTTGCCAATGGAAGCTGCCTGTCTACCCCAATGGGTTTGGCCTCCCCATGCCTAGTGATAGGGTCATCCAGAGCCACAGTGGTAGTGGCCTCCATATCACAGTGATGTCACCTCTCCACTGCAGTCTGAGGGGTTAACCCTGCTTTGCCTTAGGAAATGAATGCCTCCACACCAGGCAGTTGACACCCAAGGCAATGCCAAATCTCCTCATGTCCCACCCTTAATTCTCCCCTTTGTTTCTAGATCCATAACTAGACTCAGGTGCCAGCAGGCCCCAAAGGGTAACGTACACAGTGACCTGTGAGAAAGTGTTCTATACTCCCAAAGAACTAGTTGAGTTTCCTAATTTATACAGACAGAAATCCAGGGAACATGTATGGGAAGGGATAGATTCATAGTGTCGGCTAATGTGGGGAAGAACATAAAGTTGGGACAGGCTGAATTTATTGATATGGGCTCACGAAACAGAGATTCTGCATTTATTGTTGCAGGGTGGGAACTTAAAATTTGCTTGGTGGAAACATGGACCACAGGTAGCCCACAGTGAGTGAGTTGGAAATGCCAGATCTGCCTTGGTTTAATGTAGAGGAGTGGATTTAGAGGCTTAGGGAGACTGGAATGTCAGAATGCGTTTGTCGGGTGAGACCTACTCACACTGGAAGAGTCCAGAAGCATACCTTTCACCATGACTATAGAAATGGATTGTTGGGGGGAGCCCACTATCCTTGATGAGCTCTGGGATTGCTTTTCTCTATGCGCTAGATCTCACAGTGGAAACTTCAGCCACCACACTGGAAAACTTAAATGAAATAGGAGTAATTGGATCCTGGGATGGGAGAGGCCAAGTGGTGGCATCCACATCCAAAGGCAGAATGGAAGTAGTTGCTGTTGTGGACAAGAGTGAAAGCCACACTGGAATTGTCCGACTTATTCCAATGTTTGGTGGTGGCTAGTTGACCATGGTGCTCATGGAAGAGAAATTAGGTAAAAAGTCTACTAAATTCTTACTTGATCTGTGTAAGCAGAAAAGTTCAAGGTCAAGTAAACAAAACTAACCTTAATCAAAAACACAGAGTCACAGCTCCTCGATCAATTCCTACTGGTTTACAGACCTAGGACTTTTTGAATGAAAGTGGGCCAAGTCCTCTTGAGGAAGGACCCCTGTGTACTGCTCCAAACTTATTCTATTAATCTTTCTCCTCACCTTTCCAATCAGGACCTTCAGCCTTTTACCAGGGTAACCGTACAGGGTAACTGCTTGAGGTTAAATCTGCATTGCTTTGTCTCTTTTCCATCCATTTCATCAGCTACATGGAACCAGAAAATCAAACATGTGTTTCAGAATTTATCCTCCTGGGTCTCTCAGAAGAGGCATTACTACAGCCCCTCCTCTTTGGACTGTTTTTGTCCATGTACCTGGTCACTTTCATTGGAAACCTGCTCATCATCCTGGCCATTATCATGGACTCCCGCCTCCATACGCCCATGTACTTCTTTCTCTCTAATCTCTCTTTGGCAGACATCTGTTTCACCTCCACCACCATCCCTAAGATGCTACTGAACATCCAGATGCAGAGCAAAGTCATTACCTATGTAGGATGCATCACCCAGATATACTTTTTCATGCTTTTTGGAGATCTGGATAACTTTCTTCTGACTGTGATGGCCTATGACCGGTTTGTGGCCATCTGCCACCCCCTCCATTACACAGTCATCATGAACTCCCGACTCTGTGGCCTCCTGCTTCTGGCATCCTGGATCATGACTGCCCTCCAGTCATTGTTACAGACCTTAATGGTTTTGCAACTATCTTTTTGTAAAGAGTTGAAAATCCCTCACTTTTTCTGTGAACTTAATCAGCTAATCCACCTTGCTTGCTCTGATACCTTTCTCAATGACTTAGTGATGTATTTCGCTACTGGCCTTGTAGGTATTGTTCCACTCCTTGGGATCCTTTTCTCTTACTCTAAGATTGTAATGTCCATTTTCGGAATTTCATCAGCTGGAGGCAAGTGTAAAGCATTTTCTACATGTGGGTCTCACCTCTTAGTCGTCTCCTTGTTCTATGGTACAGGCCTTGGGGTGTATCTTTGTTCTGTTGCTTCACAAAACTCCAGGCCCAGTGCCATAGCCTCAGTGATGTACACAGTGGTCACCCCCATGTTGAACCCTTTTATCTATAGTCTGAAAAACAAAGACATAAAGAAAGCCCTTAAAAAACTTTTCAGCCAAGAAACATTCTCTACATAGGTATTATTTGTATGAAGATAGAGACTTGATCATGAGTAACAATGCTCAAAACCCTACAGGACCTAAATCATGATAATGTTATAAACTCACAGAATGGTAATCTGCAATTTATGTTATTTCAAGGGTTTAGCCTCTTTAATTTTTCATACATGATAAGTCACTGTTTCTTCTGTATTTAATTTAAAAACTTTGACCTCTCATTATATTTTGGGAGGTCAGTGTGGGAAATAGAATCCAGTGCATGAGTTTTCAGCAACAAATATATGTAATACAGGAGATTCGGTAATTATAATATTATCGGAAGAGCTAGAGGAATAAATGTGTAATGCTTCCTGTGCCAGATGAGAGCAGCTGCCCTTCAAAGAAAATTCTGCTCTCAAAGAAAATTCATTTGACATATCAAAGGTTATATACCAATTACCAAGGTTTGTGTTAATCCACTTTAGAAATTGAGCACACTGCAAAACAGAAGGAACTGGGGCCGCCATTGGATAAAATTTACAATAATCCACATTCATTCTCTAAGATCTAATTTTCTTCTGCACCGTCTAAAATATACATATGGCACAATAGAAATGACAGCTCTTGAGATTCAGGAATTGATTGTGCCACTGATCTTTGTAATTTCCTTAGGGATGCATTGCTATTCTTAACATTTTGACAGGCATGCACACTATTGGAAAATTTATTTTGGTACCTCCTACATAATGTCACTTTCTCAGATAATAAAAGCATTGTGGATATTTTGCCAAATGCCATCTATGACTTTTCCATCTCTGCATGTCAGCAATTAGATCATAATAACAGGATACAGTTATGGGCCTGAAATATGCTTTGTGAAATAGAATGAGGTTAATATTTTATCATCACCTGATCCAGAAATGACATCACTAATTTGTATGCTATAATGGTAATTTCCTATTTCAGACTTCCTACTTCACAATTTTTTGATAAATTTCCACAGGAAGGAAGGAAAGAAGGAAGGGAAAGAAAGAAAGAAAGAAAGAAAGAAAGAAAGAAAGAAAGAAAGAAAGAAAGAAAGAAAGAAGGAAAGAGAGAGAGAGAGAGAGGGAGGGAGGGAGGGAGAGAGAGAGAGAGAGAGAGAGAGAGAAAGAAAGAAAGAAAGAAAGAAAGAAAGAAAGAAAGAAAAGGAAAGGAAGGAAAAAAGTCTAATTACAGTATTGGCAATTTCTGTAGTATATCTCTCACTTTTGCCAATTTTAAGCTACCCATATGACTTTTACCCAACACAGAGTGGGATGAAATATGCACAGTCAGACCTCATAACCCATTAGGAGTCAGCTCCAAAATATAAGCATCTTTGTGTAAAGTCAGGAGAAATATAAAAAGCATTAGTCTGTTGCAGTTTTAGTGTTTTTTCAAGGAGAGCTGGTCCCATCATTTGAGGGTCAATGAAAAGTCTCAGGCCTGAGTGACTGCAACTCTTCATTCTGATGATTTAGGCCAAGTTTCTTTGTATATGAATTCAAATTTTTCTTAGTTATACAGATGGATGGGATATTAATAAGATGCCCATCACTTTTAATTAAGAGGGCATCAAGATCAATTGCCTATTCCAAAAATATCCCTGTGGTTCAATCAATTTTGACTAACATGTTGATCTTTCTACACATTACATTAACAATACATTCCTCACCTCTCACTTTGAGTGACATCCACTTTGTCTCTGCCAGTTTGGGATGTCATTCTCTATGTTGCACCTAGGTTAAACCTATTTCAGTGTCAGCATCTCCCCATATTATAACTCTGTCATGCAAAGGACAACTACTACGGAGCTCTGCAGAGATGTCACACACCTCATCAATGTACTTCTCAACCTCTTGATACTATGGCCTCTGACTGCTTTCTTTTTATATATATATATATGTATATATATATATATATATATAGTTTATTGTCAAGTTGGTTTCCATATAACACCCAGTGCTCATCCCCACAAGTGCCCTCCTCCATGCCATCACCCCACTTCAAAGCTAATGGTTTAAAAATAGATGGTTGCTTTCTTTATTATGATGAAGATATGTTACTTTAGACCTACATTAACATTATACTAACTGAGGAAAACATAAAAGCATTCCAGTAAAATCACGAACAAATCAAACATTTTTAAACTAATCTTTATTGTAGTCCCTGATACAACAATAAACAAGACAAATAAAATACAAATAATCATTATTACATTCAAATAGTTAATACTTATGTGAGACCTGCTATGTGTCAATGTTATTCTAGTGTTTTACATACAGAAATAATTTATTTCTCTCAAAAGCTATATGGTATTTTCATTTGAAATTCCTGTTACATATGAGGAAACCAAGGCATAGAAAGGTTAACTAACTTCTATAGTTACACTGCTAACAAGTGTTAGACCTTGGATTTTGGAATTCTTTCCAGAGATGATCTATCATATTCAGTATCATCCCAATCAAAATTCTGGAAGGCACTTTTGTAAAAAAAAATGTTAAGCTGATTCTAAAATGAATATGCATCTGTCCTTCTCTGCCTGACGTATTTCCTCAGCATAACACCCTCAAGTTCCATCCATGTTGCTACAAATGGCCAGATTTCATTCTTTCTCATTGCCATGTAGTATTCCATTGTATACTGAGGGCTGGTGCGGGTGGGAGAAAGGGAAGGGGGGTGATGGGCATGGAGAAGGGCACTTGTTGGGGTGAGTACTCAGTATTATATGGAAACCATCTTGACAATAAACTATTTAAGAAAATAAAATAAATAAATAAATGAAATGAATATGCATTTTTGAAGGATCTAGGAAACCCAAAAAATGTGGACAAAGGAAAATCAAAGTTGGCATTTTTATACTGCCTGATTTCAAAACTATTACAAATTTATAGTAACCAAGATATTGTGGTATTGGCTTACAACATACAAATAAATCACTATAAGAAATATAAAGCCCAGAAGTAAACCTACACATATATAATCAAATTATTTTTACGTATGACATGATCATTCAATAAGAAAAATATATTTTCCTCAACAAATAGTACTAGAATATTGGATATCTATATGGAAAAAAATAAATACTGACACCACTTTATACTATATTCAAAAATTAATTTAAAATGGATTATAGACCTAAACATAAAAGCTAAGACTATAATACTTCCAGAAAAACCATAAGACAGAAACTTTGTGACTTTGGAGTACCTAAGATTGCTTAAAAATAAGATTTAAGCATTAAAAAATTGATCAGTAATATTTAGGAGGTAACATTAAGAGATAGGAAGAAAATGTCTACCATATTATATCTGATGAAAGGCTTGCATACAGAATGCATAAAGTAGTCTTAAAACTCAATAGTAAGAAGTCAAATAACTTAATAAAAATGGTCAAAAGATTTGAAGAGATATTTTACAAAAATATATATGAATGTCCAATAAATGTATGAAAAATTGTTCATCATTAGTCATTTAGAGAAATACAAACCAAAGGACAATAAGATGCCACTGCAGATGCCCTTGAAGTGGCTAAAGTGGAAGTGGCATTTTCAACCTGACAACACCAAATGTTGGCCAGATGATGAGTGTGGTAGGCAGACTTCTAAGATGGCCTCCTATAGTCTTCACCTCATGGTATTCATGCCTTGAATGTGGAAATGATGCAGTGAATTGCTTCTAACGAATAGGGTACAGCAAAAGTGATAGATTATTTTTGTGATTGATTAGGTTTTAAAAGACTGTGACTTCGGTTTTACTAGCAGATTCTATTGCCTTCTTAACTCCCACACATCGATGAAGCAAGCTGCCATATTGGAGAGTCCCATGTGGCAAACTGGCATGTATCAATAGTTTGTTCATTTTTATTGCCTTGTACTGGTTACATGCTTTCCAGCTAACATTTACAGGAGAAATGGAGCCATCAGCCCAAGAGCTCCTAAAAACTGAATCCTTCTAAAAACTGTGTAAACTTAGAAGTTGAACCTTCCCCAGTCAAACCTTCACATAAGACGCTGACCACTTCTGACAAGTGGATTATAGCTTTTTGAGAGATCATGATTCAGAGGATTTAGCTAAGCCATGCCCAGATTCCCAGCCCACAGAAACTTTGAGATAATCAATATGTGAGATAATCAAGATGTCTTTCCTGGGCTGATATTTACATGGGTACATACATTGGTGAGCACACTGAGTTACAAATATTTCTGAAGGACACTGGTCTAAAGGTATAAAGTTAAAACAACAGTTGTCCTGAAAGACCTTCTTTGAGTGACCTGTGTCTTAAATCATTTTCACCAAAGTAGCCTTTTTTTCCCTTTTAATACCTACCTCATAAGCACAGTTGAAGAAATCATGTCTTTTATAGATTGGGGCTTAAGGGAAGCCTACACTTAGGCTCTAGGTAAGACTGTCCAAGAAGAATGACTTATATAGATAATACTCTACCAAATAAGAAAATTCTTCTGGAGTATAGATCTGGAGAGACAAGAAAAGCTTCTCTAAAGGAAATTTACCCCTTCATTCATCAATTGGGTGCTACACATTATATTACTCAGCTTGGGCCGCCATAACAAAATACTGGAAACTGGATAGCTTAGATCACAGAAATTTATTTTCTCACATTTGTAAAGGATGGAATTCCAAGATCAGGTACCATTATGGTTGAGTTCTGATGAGAGATTTCTTCCTGACTTGTAGGAAGCCACCTTCATGCATTGTCTCCAACTAGTCTTTTTCATGTAGGGACAGAGAGAGAGATAGTAAGAGATAGATACATGTAGGTAGGTAGGTAGGTAAGTAGGTAGGTAGGTAGATAGATAAATAGATAGAGACCTACCTCTTCCTCTTCTTATAAAGGTACCAACCCAATTGGGTTAGTTCCCCACCCTTATGACTTCACTTAACCATTATCACTTCCCAAAAAATCCTATCTGCAAATGCAGTCACATTGGGGATTAGAACTTCAATCTAAGAATTTTAATGGGACACAATTCAGTCTATACTACACATCTCAAGTGT